TAAGTTAATTTAATTAATAAATTTTATACCTAATCTTTAAAAGGTCATAACTTATTGAGTTTTTACTCAATATTAATGATTTTACTATCATTAGAATCAGAAAAACATGCTCTACAAACTTTTTTTATAAATTAAAATTAGTTTACTTAATATAAATTTTTATAAAATTAAATATAAAAAAACTTTACCATTAGGTTTATATATAATTTTAAAATACTACACTCTACCTTAAACTTAACCAATTATATGAATGTTTTTCTATAAACCCCAGTAACATCAACAAATTTTATTGATTGACAGTGATTGTCCAATTACTGTATATTACAAAATCAAAAAACATTATTTTTAAAAAACTGCTGTAACTCAAAATTTTGTTTATGTAAACACCTTCTGCGCACTAGTAAAAAAATTTCCTTGCAAATTTTTGGTATAAAATAAACCTTGTTATAATTTAACCTTGACACTAATTAAGCGATTATGTGATCTAATTTCTTAATTCTGCTATATTCTATGTTTAACATTACACCAATGAAAATGATCGACAAGTCTAAACGAAAAAAACATGAAATTTTAATTGGCTAAAAAAAAATTTTTTTGAACTGTCCATATGATTTTTATAAAGTTATTTACCCCTATATCTGAGGCTCAAAGAGGAGGGAAGGGTTATGTTAAACATAGTTTTAACTTGGCGTGACCTAACCTTAACAATAATGCCGTTCATGCTGTGTCGTTAAGGTTTGTGCCGGTTATTCACTGTTAAGACCCTTCCTAATACCAAAATTTCGCAAGGAAACCTTTTGATTTTTTGCGTTTTTTCGTGTTACGCCGGATCATGAAATCTGATTGGCTGGAGAAATAGTGGCGAAATTTTTGCAAACTGCCATAAAAATGTCTAAACGTCGCATACGTAAAATTAGATCGCAAACGTCACCTGATTTAAATCAATAAAATCATTCTTTTGCCATCTCCTACATACGTACAATATAATTTTTAAAACTAGGTAACCGTAAAATCAAGTTACGAGTGCCTTATATGTATTGAATAATGCACATACGTCAAAAAGTCATTCTGCATTGACCAACGCCACGAATGAAACTAACTAATGTAATGCAAAACGCACTCTCGACTAGTCATAAAAAACCTTAAAACATTATCAACATAAAAAATTTCGCTACGTAAAACTTTTGCGTTGTTATGTTTTCACTAATAGATTAGACTTGAAAGTTATACGTATACTGTAATAATGCCAAAATTACGTAAAAAAAAAAAAAAAAAATTGGTAGTTAAGCCATACAAACTTAATAAATTGTTCTCATAACATAAAAATTTTAAAAGTGACCCGACAACCCGGCTTTTAATTTTAATTTCAAAAAATTTATATATAAGATGCATATAAAATTTTTTATTGCTTTTTTTTTTTGAAAATTCACCCGGATAGTAAATTTTTTTTGTAAAATTTGACCCGGCCCGGTTATTAGAAACAATTTATTAAGTTTGTATGGCTTTGGTGCGTATAACATTATACAAGAATTTGAGTTACGAATATTATCGTAATTTTTCTACGTACGTAAATGTTCTTCAAAAATATTTACAAATACATTTCTTACAATACACATGTGAATTTTGGTAAGATTTTCACACTATATTAGCGTTAACTTCAATCTATACTTTAATAAGATCACAAATAATGTATTTTTTTTGTCAGCTACTTAAAGACACGAAGAATTTTAGTTAAGATTCACGTTTATTTTGGGAACTTTTATTATGTGGTTATAAAAGGTTTGATTTAATAATTGACATCCATAACTATATCGATATATATATACGTACTGTATTATGATTACAAAATAGCACATAAGTTTTTTCGGAATCAAAAGTAAGATACTCCGAAAACTCCGAAACTCCTTGTATATACCATAACGGTTACTCTTTTATGGGCTAAAAATTTTTTTTGTATTTATTCAACAAAAGACTTTTGTGTTTAAAGAACAGACCAGGCTGATACGGCTTATTTCATCTACAAATACTTAATTATTCAAATATATTCATTAGTCGAAAAATTAACTAGTTCGTTGATAATCACATCACCAAAAACAGAATCTGACATCTAACGCAAAATAATTTCATAATTTAATGTTAATATCCATTTAAGAATTAGGATTATTTCTTCATACGTACATATAGAGTACGTATCGGTATACAGTACGTAGTAGTCAGATAAGTGGTTATCGATGAACCGTTTGTCGGCGAAATAAACACGAACCATACTAAATATAGAAAGAAATATCGGTATTTATTTGTAAACTAAGACATTGCCACAAATTAAATTTGAGCAATGAAACTAATATACCAATAATCATGTGTCAACAAATAAAAACCTATTTTTCATTGAACTTTCTATTTTAAATTCTCAAAGTAACACAGTGTTTCTGTTTACGTGATATATATAATATTATTTCCGTTGTACATTGTACCGGAGATGCAATTCCTTTGCCTTACATATTATTAGTCATCTGAAAAAAGCCAAGTAATATAAATATGCAGAAGTTTTGTAGTTAGTAGTTAATACGCTTTCATCACTTTCATCAGAGAATCTCTACAAGAAAGAAAGAAAGAAAAAAAAAACAAAAAAAAGGTTTATTTATTACATTAAAGAAAAAATGCTTCCTCAAAGATCGTATAATAACAAGTCTCCAAGATCATATCATAACAGGCCTCAAAGGTCATATAATAATAGACCTCAGAGACCGTTTAAATTTCAAAGATCACCTAATAACAAGTTCCAAAGATCGTATAGTCAAAGATCATCTGAATACAATACGTATAGTAATTCTTCTGGTTTTTATCGTACTGGTACAAATTTCAAAGGAAATCATTGGAGTCATCGCGGTCCTTCTAAAGGAAGAGGTGGTAGCTATCATCATTCCAATTTCAACGGACATTCTTATTACCATCAGAATCATAGCGGGTCAACATATTATGAAAATAAAAATGGATACAAGAAATATACACCACCTTCTAGAAACCCAAGAACTCATTATCGTCGTCATGTGAAGACAGATATTCGAACACATCAAGAAAGATGAAAACAAGAAATTATTTTTATTTTTTTCTCTCCTTTCTTTACAACCTTTATCATACTATATTTTCTTTTATTTACCTATATTTTAGTCTTTTTTTTTTACATAGTTTTTTTTCTGGTCATGTTTAACCTTGTGTTGAGTTTCGACACATCGCATAATGTTATTATAATATATCTCAGGCATTATAACTATAATCCAAATCGAATCCTAACTCGTCAAATAAAACATGTTGGAGGATTAAAATGTACGAGAACGCTACGTCATATGTTGACCATCCGGTGTCTACGATTCCGAATATTTATTACTAGAAACCAACGATGAAACAGTAAACCGATAATACAAATTTATAATGGGATTATTTTTATTATAGTCTAAAACCTTTGTCCTATCTCGAAAAAAAAAACTCTATATAATCTCTATAATAAGGATAAAAGTTACAATTCAATTAATTGATATGAGCGTTCAAGACATACCTACAAAATGCTAATTATAACAAGTCATGATTTGGAAATGATAAAAATTTTAAATAATTTCATTATGCGAATATAAAAAAAAAAAGATTACTCTTAATGCGGTACCTATAGAAAATCAGATGAAAAAAAATCGTTTACGAGCCGATGATCTAGAAGCAGTAAATCGAAAATTTGCTGACTGATGACTGTAATATAGATAAATTTTGCATTTCAATGAGATCGTCTAATAAAAGATAAAAAAATTTGCATTTCGAGGAAAGCGTAAGATAAGAAATTGCATTTGGAGGGAAATAAAAATACTTGTATCTGGAGCAAAAAAAAGTAAACCTTGAAAATTCGCATATATTTTTAAAGAGGTTCTATAAGAGTAGCATGATTAGTAATATACATATTTGTTATAGCTGTTTGATGTTGATCGGAAGATTGGAAGGCACTTTGGAATCACTATTGGAAGCTTAGAAGCATATTTTTTAATAAAATCAGTTAGATTGGAAACGATTTTTAAGCACTGCCTGCTTGAATAATTTATTATGTTTTATCGAGGAAGAAGCTTAAAATTTCATTTATTAAAACACGATTACTGTAAACGATGTCATTTTGGATGACGTTAAAGTTTATATTGCTAGATGTAGATGACAGATTTTATTAAGTAAATTGACTTTTACTTATTAAGAAAATTTGTTCGAAATGATTAATTACATACGAATACTCTAAAATTTTTTGCGGGGTTAACCTTTTTAATTTAATATTAATAGGATTTCATCCGTAAAATTAAGAGTTTCACCTGCAAGAAATTTCAATATAAAACTTTTATTCAAGTCGTATAAAAAATTTTAGAATCGATTTTTCTTGACGTTAATAGACGAAGATCGTTTTACTTAAAAAATTGGCTTTTATATGTTTAATTCTATATATAGTGATGATCTTCGATTTTCACGACATGTAGTTAACGTTTAATGGCTAGCATAGATAAATGCTGTATTCGCCCGTAATGAATTATTACAATCTGGAAGTTCATTTGCATTGCTAAAACAATGATGTAATTGATAATAATTATCGTTATATTGAAATATCGATATGTAATAAAGCGATTTTTAATGCTGTTGTAACAATATCGATACATATGTTTTCTAAAAATAATCAGCCAATCATTTTTTTTGATCGATGTCATAAGCAAATCCAGATTTAAATTAATTTTCTCGTGTATTTAAATGACAAAATTTTTTGAAAATCTTTCAAAGAATTATCTCCAACTTCTTGATGATAAAGATGATTTTAATGTAATTATCGAAGTTGGTGAAACCCCTAACACAAAGTTATTCCGGGCACATTCAGCTCTTTTAAGATCTCGATCTCCGTATTTTCACAAAGAATTAGCAAACACAAATAAAGATAGTAATAATATTAAAAAAATTCTTTTAAAATTTGCTTCGATTAAACAATTTGAATTATTATCAAGTAAGTTAATCTTATTTATTCACAGTCTTGTAATACTCTTAATTTATTAATTTTTACATATATTAAAGATACATTTATGGAGGATTAGTCTCACTAGAAAATACTGATGCTTCGTTCATTTTTGAGTTAGCTCTTGTTGTTTATGAATTTTTCCTTGATGAATTAGCCAACTATCTTGAAAATTACTTAATTGAGATGAAATCTCATTGGCTTCTCTTACATTTTGCTCGTATTTACAAATTAAGTTTTCGGAATAACAAACTTGATGAATTACGAAAATGGTGCAATAACATTGTTGTAAAGTATCCAAATAAAGTTTTTGACTCTGTAGATTTCATCTCCCTTCCGGAGAGTGCTATAATTTCACTTCTTGAACGCGATGATTTACAAATGGATGAAGCGAAAATTTGTGATTATGTTATTAAATGGGAATCGCACAAAATCCTAATATATCATCTAATCCTGAATATTGATATTTCGAACTTGAAAAATACTTTACAAAATTGTTTACCTCTTATTCGTTATTTTCAACAATCTAATTTAGATATTATCAATCATGTGCAACCATTCAAACAAATACTTGATGAAAATCTTTGGAATGATACAAAAAAAAGGTCTATATCTCCAAATGATCCAATAAATTCAATAATTCCTTCATCTCGTAAGATTTTAACTTTAACATTGCCACCTAGAATACTACCCAATATAGAAAATTTTTCAACAATTCTTAGTAAAGCTCATATGGCCGAAATTGCGTGTGGGTAGATAAAAAAGCTGATATGTATTCTACGGAAAATATTCCATATAATTTTAAATTACTTATTCGCGGAAGCAGGGATGAGCATAAATAAATTCAATAAATTTTTTTTGATATTTTGAATGTAAAAAAAAACATGTAAACACTAATTATCGAATGGATTAATATGCTTTAATATAATTTGTATCATATTCTTCTTGTTTCGCACATTTTTATATTCCATTTTTCTATTTGATGTACGAATGATGTAAAGTTCATCAGTAAGTTAATTGACTTCATAAAAAATTGTGGAATCGGAAATTAAAATCGGAAATAGTTACATAAATTTCTCAAATCCAGACATTTGAAACATTAGTGATTACTAAGCTAAAATATTTTCACCTTGAAATTATTTTATTTCTAAATATTTTTGATTTTAAAAATAAATTTCCAACAATAACAACTATATGTTGTGGGCTAAATTAAAATGCAATAGGATGTTTCGTTTTGGTTAAATTATTCGCTGATGAATTACTTTAGTTAAATGATCTTGCTCGCAATACTATTTAGTAATGAGCGATCAAAATGAATCATTCAAACATGGACTTACCGTAAATTCTCAAAATAACGGACATTTGCGCGCTATTTCGGATACGCCCAGGGCACTATTTAAAGATAAAGTATTAATTTCTAATATACACCTGATTCATCGACGTATATTTGCCATTACCCGACACAGCACGTTATTCGCCCAATACTTATTTGAGGTGCGCGCTATTTCGGGACGCGCATGAACTATTTTTAAGGGGTAAAATTTTCTTTCGAAAATTTACGGTAATAATTGTCGCGGTCCAAGTTAAAGCTGTAAATTTTTAAAATCTTATGGTGTGCAATTTTTTTAAATACGTAGCTAAATTAGGATTTAAGGTTAATGATAAAAAAGTACGTATAAGTGGATAATGACTACATAGTAACTATATAATCACTATGACATATATAAAAGCTAGGTTTCTGTATAGTAGACGTGAAAAAACTTAATACGTACAATATTTTGGTAGAAATTGGAACTACGAAAAAATTTAACCATAATCGCATAACCCCACATAACGATAGTAATATCCAGGTAGGTTCAAATAAGACTCGCATATGATAATCGACGATTATTATGTGATCTTTTTTATGTTGCTTTGTCACTTATACAAACTTTTTATATACAGTATAATCGCGAAATAATGCATTCATACGTGTTATTTTATTTACCTGCGCCGTACTTCAAGCTCAAAGATTCGAAATAACGCACATAAGCGTCCTAATGTACTTTACATGTATGGTAATTCATTAATACTATACTGTTAAAATGTGTTATGCAAAGTGCGCGTTATTTCGGAATGCATTTGACCAAAATATTTAATGGGTCAGTCTCTATCATTATAGGGCTTCGGGACTTTTTGATCAAGCTTTGATTATTTATTGGACCATGTCCTTGAGTTAGGTGCTCTATTCATAGTATAAGTTTTGTTGAATAAAATTATACGACTTAATACAAAGCCCTATAACGGTAGAGACTGACCTAATTGAAACATCGACTATCTGCCGAATAATAAAACGTCGAACTACAGTGCGGGAATCCTTAAACCAGAAACTTTTTTAAAAGTGACAAATTTGAGGCAAATACTAAATTTTAATCGACCAATATTTTGTTTTTTAAAATTTTATTATATTTTTTTATAATGATATGTTTCTATATATGTGTGATCAAATCTTGTGATCATGTACAATTTTCATACCCCCGTATTTCCGAAGATGCGGGGGTATGTCCTAAACGATGCAACATATAACGATAATGTAGACCTTTCAAAAAGTCGACAAACTAAATCCTTGATCAACAATACTATGCAGTAATTTAAACCTTATCAAAGGTTACGATAAGCAAAATTTATAATTTTTAATAGTAACTTACACAGACCTTGGCGTATTATTTCTATATAAGATCATGTATACATATGTACGTACGTACAGTGCAGGAGGCCTCAACTTTTCTTTATACAATATAAACAAGTAACACATTCAAACCAAATATTTCTTAAATTATCAACTTCAATAAGGTACGTCTTTATACAGGTTGAAGATGTGTTATTTGTACAATGTCTCTATAAGAGAAATTGTGATTTTTAAATTCCCTGCAACCATTGCTGTATATTTTTTGATGTACAAAGCCTTTTTGGAATGTTCCGTCCAAATGTTTGAGGATGCCTAGACTTTATAATTAAAGTAAATTTGTATAAAAAATATACGATTATATTTTTTTGTTTTGAACATTTTTTAATTAAAAAATC